CCAGACGAATCTTCTGAACACCATCCAACTTGTTTTTATTCTGTCACTCATCACACGCGCACCACTTCCCCACATACACGACCATTCGCAACAGCTGACTGGCAGTGGCGTTTCTCGCACGGTCACAGCTGTTCCCGTGCACACAAAGAATATACTGCGTCATGATGCCAGAGCTGAATACATTTAAAACAATTCCGTTTGCTGGATTGCTTGTTACCTACATAGCCCTGCTGTGCATCGGAACCATATATTTTGCATACGGTTTTCTAATCTTAGTTTTTTTCTCATGAATCCATGCCACAAATGCGCATCGGACATGGTAAACGACGACCACGCGATCATTTCCCGCTTATCTATCGTCGGAAAACGACGCGTTGCATCGCATGTACACTCTGCAAATGACCGGGTTTCGGTATCAGAGTCGCGTTGAGCCCGCTGTGGCAGACTTGAACGAATGGTACAGTCATTTCCATGCACACGCGAGGGCAGGAGCGCACCCAGCGCCAAATCAGTAGGGTGAGCAAGGTGCCTCACAGTAAACGCGACCATCCTTCCCAGTTTGACAATCGCGCTACAAAGCAGGAAGGTGCATGAATTGTGCGCATTCAGGTCCCTCCAGCCAGAGCCTGGAACCCGGCAGACAGCTCGACACCGATTCCGGAGGATCGGATTCCGCTCTCCGTCGCTTGGATGGGAAAGGACGTAACGTCGCTTCGTTGTATACTCTGAACGCGTTGGTTTCTAATGCGACATTGACTTCGTGATCTGAGACTCACGAGCGGGCCGACAACAGACCAGGGGGCTCGACTAAAGACTCACGAACCGGGCCGACACCGGACCAGGGCGACCCGGCTGACTCCGACACCGGACCAGGGCGCTCGGCTGAGACACTCACTAGCCGGTCAAACCACGGACCCAGGTCGCTCGGCCGACTCCGACACCGACCAGGGCGCTCGGCTGACTCCCACACCGGACAAGGGCGCTCGGCTGAATCCGACACCTGACCAGGGCGCTCGGCTGACTCCGACAACCTGACCAGGGTACTCGGCTGAGCGCGGTAGCCCTGGAAGGTTTGAAAGCTAATTTCAGTCCCAAGTTGGGCCTTTTTAACCGATGTTTCTTAGGCGCGTGACTATCACGCTCCGGCATGCCAGATACTTGTGGAATGCATCTCTTCCGACCTGAACAATCTTGCCTAACCACACCGCCCGGACCAGCACTCGCGTCTCCGCCGGATATCCGACCAATCACAGCCCGTGATCAGCTGGCGTCGCCTTACATCAGTGGGTGTCTGCATTGATCACTCAACCGTAACGGACAGCTTGGCCTGTGGATTGCTGGGATATGCAGTGGTCGCCCAGGTTTGGGGAAGGCAAACGTTAGCTGCACGACGTTGCATGGAGAGGAACCGTGGGTTAGCTTTGCTCGCTCTCACACGCACCCTCCCCATCAGCGCTTAACTGTCGCCAGACAAATCGAGCGGGCCAGGCCATTTTCCTTGGCCTTCCTTGTATAAGTGCAGCCAAAAATTTGCCAGCCCAGACCGCCAGATTCGCCCTGACTCTCCGTGCCCCCCCCCCCCCCCCCCCCGAGAGATTACCTGAGGCGCCACGCTTGTATTACACGTGAGGCACGGCCACTGCTGCACCCATCGCGACCACGCTGCGCGCCACCGTCGACAGGCCGCCGTCCTCAGCACTGTCGCGCCTGATACGGACCGGTGCAGCAGAGCGCCAGCCTGACCGCGCCGGCCCATGCTCCCGAGCAGACCAACTTCCGCCCGTCATAGCGATCACTGGACAGTTATCCTGTCGAAATCGTGATGGCCAGTCGCAATGGCAACCATTCTGTCGGATCCGCCGGATGCGATAGTTCTTGTCAGCGGGACGCCATCAATCACCAGTTCAGAGCCCACCTCAGGCTTCGGGACGTTCTTCTCCAGGCTGGCCAGCGCTTCACATGAGGTAGGCATACGCAAACATGCAGAACAGTGAGCGCAGTGCCCCAGGAACACGTAATCTGTTTTCTCACAACAGCACGCGAATGCCAAACGAACGTTAAGCTCTTACAGTGTATTTCACAACAGAGTTCGCACAACGAACAGCACAGATGCGACAAGGACGAGCGTGATCTACCAGATTTGAGAGAGACTGACCTGAAAGAGAAGAACACAGTGAAAGTGTAGTGAAGAAGAGTGAGGAGCTATCGAGATATTATACGAATAGCAGTGAACAGGCACAAACAACGGCTGGATCCGCCGCTGACATGTAGCTCAAACACTCAAGTCACATTGGCAAGTTCATTGCATTATGGGCCCGAAAAGGCATGGGTATCGAACTGAAGCGTTGCGATCGCGCGGGCTGTGGCAGCTGCATGACCACGTGCACGGCCTGCAACGGACTGCACCTCGCCCCTCATGATCCCTCGCCGAGCTCCCGTTTCGGAAGCACTGTCTGATTGGCGTGAACTTTGCCGGAGTTCGGTTAGGCGCAACGCTTCAGCCAAGCCAAGTCCCAAACACGGGCTGCGGATGGATGATGCGATGAGGTATGCCAACTTGTTGTACGTGACCCCCAGCTCGTGATCTTGATCGCAGTCAACCAGGTCCTGATATATGGGTACTGAAGCTATGCCAATATTGTTGTCAGGTCATGCCTAGACAGACACAACGCTCGGCGCATACAGCCTGCACGCATTATGGCATAAACGTGCGAGTGAGAGAACAAGGGAAGCAGCGTAACGAAGCAAACGACACTTGGAGCGCGAGTCTAAGACTAGTGCACAAAACGATGGTATTGTTAAAGCTTTCAGGTAGCATGTTAACGTAAACTAAAGCCGCTCCGACAGCTACGCAAAGCCTGCCAGGAGAAAAGCACGCGCAAGGTAAATACTAATAACGAAGCAACCGAGTGCACGCGTGCATAACAACTGATCACAGTGCGTGTAAAAACGCCAATGCTCCTAAAGGGCGGATGTCCTGTAGGTAAAACGTGGCGGACGGAGACGTGACAGACGGCGGCCAGCAGTCAGCCGCCTCAGCCGCGGGGAAGGTACCGGCAGCTCTGCCGCCTCGCACCACATCATCAAGTGTTCTGTCTCTCCTCGCCTCGTTCTGCACATTTTAACCTACGGCAGTTCCCTCCGTGACAACCACTGAAACATACATTGACTTGGTCCATACAAGAGGTAAGATCTAGATTCGAATTCATCGAGCCGATGACAAAGCCTGCCTGTGCATCAGCTCACACATTGGCATGTTAATTATTAGAATGGATTGGACGCGTTGTTCTCTAGGACATCCAAATCTAGACACACTTCACCAAGGGAAAGATCACCCTACACCAACCCCTCACCAGATTTCCTGATAAGAAGAGCAAGGAAATGCGCCTTCCATCAGTCACGAAGAAATCTAGAACCCAGATGCTCACGCAAGCCCACTCGGCAAGGACATCATAAGACACCGTTGGCAAGGGAGCGCCCGTCCTATCCAACAACGCGAACGGGCGCTGGTATGCATTCAGCCACGCACATTATGCTCCAATTGGTCTGTGAAGTCTGAGCTCAGATCGGGGAAGATTCATATCTCAGTACATTCGGAATTATGTGGCGTGAGCTTAAGTTCAAGGATGTGCTGCGCTTACGTCCATATAATGGTATGTGGCGATGCTCTGCGGCAATGGGGTGACCTGATGTCTGTGATTGGTTTAAGCTGAGGTAACACATTCTGGGAATTCGAGCATGTCCTTACCATAGCAAGTAATTGTACAGGGTATGTAAATGTGTATGTCAAGTGCATGTACAGAAAACTTCGTTCTCTACATGTGTGTACCTTTTTAAATGTGCCAGTACGTCTAAAATTGTATCAACTATCGTTCTCCACACTGCTTTCTGTTCTCACCAACCTCGGATACCGAAACGGAGATTTTTATCTCGCTCCGTCAAAAAACCGCTGGCTCACTCCAGCCACCGCCGGTAAACGGAACATAATGTGATAGCGGGGAAGACGCATGGACATAATACAAAAACAATGGACGGCAATTACTATCAACATCCGTTCGAATCTAGCACGCATCTTGTTTTCACAACGTCAAGGACGGACGGACGAAACAGGCGGTGTGCGGCTTAGACTATGGCCATTTATCAAGAGGTCAAAAATATTTCCATAGATGTCACGTTATGTGGGAATGACCTGGTCCAGACGCGCGTCCGGCTTGACTCACTGGAATAACCCCAACCAAACCGCCATAAAGGCAGTGTCAATCATGAGACGCCAGATCTTCGCGGATATTGCCGTTGGAGAATACCCGGACCAACTATCATTTGGCGCCGCTCGCATCGAAACGGTCCCTGACAGGGCGACCACGACCGGATCAGTACGGCAACACGCACCGCGAGGCGTCACAACTCCGAAGGGGCTGGACACCGGCAGGGGACCGGGCAGACGGCCCAGCGAGAACCAACCTAACATACGCCTGGGTCCAGCGAGAACCAACCTCACATACGCCTGGGTCCAGCGAGAACCAACCTAACATACGCCTGGGACCAGCGAGAACCAACCAAACATACACCTGGGACCAGCGAGAACCAACGTAACATACGCCTGGGACCAGCGAGAACCAACGTAACATACGCCTGGGACCAGAGGCCAACGTATACGGGCTACTCAAACAAAATCCAATCCTGGATTGAGGCCGTTACCGCAGAACTTTGTAGCCGCTCTGACAGCAGATTGGACTTACACGAAATAGCTACCAGAAAACAAAACAAAAACCAAACAAACAAAACAAAAACGCTTGAAGTCATACTTTAAAAATTAAAGCGAGCTTAAATCTCGACAAAAAATCGAGAGATGGGCGACATAAGGTGAAAATGAATGTCACTAAATGCCGAAACGACAATGTTTCTCAAAGAAAACTACGGGACCTTGGTCCAAATGCGAAACCAGTCCGAGGGTTGGCTAGCCAGGCTACGAGGTGATTTCATGACTACACCGCTACACCGTCCTGGTGTGTATCAGAGAGTAAACAAACCTACTAGCCTCAATGGCAGAATGCAAGAGACAACTCAGACGTATGGAAACCACGCCGCCGCTCTCCAGCACCACGCGGCTAGTGCTGACTGTGGCTAGAGGGTGGGCCGTGACAGGTTCGTGGCGCATGGCGACGACCGGCCATCCGGACCAGCGCGGACGAGGAGAGAGCCTCGAGGGAGGGCACGGCGGCCGGGAATCCGAGACTGAGGAGACGACCGGACAAGGCGCCACCGGGGTCCCGAGGAGATCAGCTGCGGGGAAGCTGCGGAGATCTGCTGTGGGAATGTAGGCGACCTCCGCGGACACGCCGGGGCATGTGCAGGGGGAGGCTGTGGGCGGACACCCAGCCGGGACGTGCTGCGGGGAGCCGCGGCGGCCAGCGCGGGCTACGCGTCGGCCGCCTTCAGCGCCATACCCAGGTAGTTGGTCTCGAGCATCCGGGAGCGGATATTCACCTGGGTCCAGGCCTGCGTGGCGGCCGAGACGCGCACCGCCTCCAGCACGGCGGCCACGTACTGGCCGTCCTGGAACGAGGCGGCGTCGGTGAGCGGCTCTCCGTCGGCGAAGGAGCGCGCCACGGCCGCCAGCAGGCGCAGCAGACCGGCGGCGTGCAGCGCCGGCTGCGGCCCGGCCTCGGGCAGCGGCGGCGCCGCCGCCTCGCCCGGCGCCGCCCGGTGCAGCGTCTCGTGCTGGCCGGCGCGGAAGCCGAGCAGGTCGGCGCCGCGCACCGTCAGGTGGCCCCAGTCGCCGCAGACAACCACCTCCTGCTGCAGGCCCGAGAGGTGCGCGTTCAGCGACACCGTCACCAGCGCGCCGCCGTCCATCTCCATCTGGAAGGTGCAGAAGTCGTCGCTGCCCACGTGCCGGATGCCGGCGATCAGGCGCGTCTGGCGCGTGTACGTGCGCAGCGTGCCGTGCACGCGGCGCGCCCGCTGCCCGATCACGTGGCTGACCAGGTCGACCACGCCGCTGCCGATCAGCGAGAGCAGGCCGCCACCCATGGCCGGCTCGCAGAGCCAGCTGTAGCCAGCGCCCTCCAGCAAGCTGCCGCACGTGACGCGCACCTCCACCAGGCGCACGTCGCCCACGTAGCCGTCGCGCACGGCCTGGCGCAGCTGGCGCACGGCCGGCAGGTAGCGCAAACCGTAGCCGACCACGGAGAGCAGCGACGGGTAGTACTGCGCCGCCAGCACCATCTTGAGCAGCTCTGACTGGCAGAGGCCAGCCGGCCGGTCGCACACTACGTGCTTGCCGATGCCCATGGCCTTGACGGCGATCTGCGACTGCAGGCTGGGCGGCGAGAGGACCAGCACCAGGTCCACGTCCTTGTGCAGCAGCACGTCATCGATCCGGCTGGTGAAGTAGTCGATGTGCAGCGAGCCTGGGCGGCGCACGGACGGGCGTCAGCACCATCGGGACGGGACTCGGGGGACTTAACGACACGCTCAGCGTCACCGGTCGTCCGGCGGCGACACGCTCAGTATCACCGGTCGTCCGGCGGCGACACGCTCAGTATCACCGGTCGTCCGGCGGCGACACGCTCAGTATCACCGGTCGTCCGGCGGCGACACGCTCAGTATCACCGGTCGTCCAGCGTCACCAGTCCCCAGCGGCGATCGCCGCGGGACAACATGCTAGGCCGGTAGACAGGCTGGCCCAGTACATGACCGTCAGCACACAGCCGTGGACGAGCGCTGCACCGACCGAGCTAAGCCTCGCCCACATCGGTGTGCGATATCTGCGCAAAACACAGGGCGTTGCTAATAACGCGGAAAGCAGCTTGCGGTCGGCTGCAGAGAGACCACTGACAGTAATCGGTCTTATAAATGGCTGTCCAATGACCTGACTACAGCACTGCAACGTACAAAACATAACCCGTGCAGAGATGAAAACATCAGTGAGGGAGCTAAGCAGTCGTTACCGCCTGTACACTCTGGACCTACCTGCCACATTGCCGGCATCTTCTAAAGTCTGACCCCACAGCGCCACCACGCGGAAGCCCAGGGAGCGCAGGTGGGGCACCACTGCCTCCAACAGCTTGCCCGTGCCGAAGACACCGACCCCGGGCAGCATGATGGTGTCAACAAGTCATGACCTGCGCAGAAATCATCATAGCACAGACGGACACTCAACACGAGGGCCTCAAACGGAATGCATGGCGTGAAACAAAAACAATGGCTCTGGCCACTTCTTAGAACAGCCCTTGAGTGGAAGTGTGATATGAGACTGCTTCACGGGAAATTAGATACCACTTTAACACGCGTATGGGTGGCCGGTTGCATGCGACAGGCTGTAGTGAAGTGGGCGGGAGGAGGGGGAGGGAAGTCACCTTAACCACATGAGATGTCAAACGCTGGGAGAACCGGACACTAAATTCACGGAGAACGTCGGCATGTGCGTGAATTCCCTTGTGTCCAACTTACAAATCGCTAGGTCATGACTTATGGGTCAAATAAGGTAGGTCAAGGTCAAGGTCAAACTCAAAAGGTCCGTGGCCGAAGCACCTCCTCATGTGACAACCTTTACCGCAGATACCGGTTCTAAGGAAAAGGTAACTGGTGTTCATGGTAGGTCAGTGGCCTTAATTGATCTTTAGGTCACAGTGACCAAAATGCTACAATATTTTTATTTTTTAAATTTAGATGTGCATGATGGTACATTAAGTGGCATATTTTTCAAATGGTCTGTTGGGTCATTCTAGGTCAATGGCCTAATCTGACCTTGGAGAAGTCCACGTAAGACATCTCTTGACATCCCTGTGATCACAAAATTTGAAATGAAACATAATATGTGCATCACATGATGCAGCTAAACAATGACATATTGAGGAGCATATTTACTAAAAAGTGAAATTGTGCTGTCTTGAACAGTATTTTCCACAAAAAGTACACTAATAGTGAGATTATCTTATCATATCTGATGCTTGCTTCAACATCTTCAAATGTAGAAAATTCCCTTTAGCCAGGTGAGCATGGCACTTCAGATCTCAGTCTTGCAGCACTGCCACCTGGGGAGGCCCTTCTCCATTAGCTGCAGTGAAATGGCACACCTCAATAGTTGCAGGCAGGACTGCAGAGCTGGGGGGGGGGACCTCAGTTGAGGTCAGAATGATGACCTGATGCACCAGCAGAGGACATCAGAAGCCCACTGTGGCAGGGAAGGAATCCTGCCATTCATACATGTATGTATGGTATGGTGTGGATGTGTGCTTTGAATGAAAAACATGTGTTCATTGAGCCAAATGATATAAAATGGCCTAACACAGACCACTGCCTGGCCTTCAGACAGAAGTGCATTCTGCCTCTTTCTCATCTGGCCTGCCTCAGGTCAACCAATGGGCAAAACATGTGAGGGAAAACAAGTTGGCAACAAAGCTCTGCATGACTTAAAAACCACTGTCAAGTTGTTTTGTTTAAGTGCATCTCTTTGCACATGAGAAAGGTGCATCCAGCTCTACTTTCCTTTCATCTATCAACATCTCACAACATTTGGTTTTAAAGTGATGGGCAGGTGTACATAAGTTGTTTGGGAAGCCTCTTTTGAAAGATGCAACAATTTGTGCATTCATGAATATTTAGGCTGGCATGAAGTTATACAGCACTTTTTACCAAGCTTTTGATCCCCAAAGCATCATGCTATAACACACAATAAAGCCTCTTAAATGCAAAGATGGACTTTTGGGGTGAGAGGTAAAACATGGCTAGCATGTATTTCAAGGTCAACAGGGGAGGGTAAAAATGACATTTCTGGATTTGGAAGAGAAAAAGACACTTTTGCTTAAGGAGGTTGTAGCAGCTTGAACAGCCCTAAGCCCAAGTGAACATGCCTAAGGTAAGCTAAGAGTAAAATCTAGTACGTTTTTGAATGTTAGGATATCTGTTTTTAGCATCTAGATGACAACACTGACCATCCAGTCAGCATTGTCAATTCCCGAGGTGACATTCTTGATTCAGTCTTCCCCGCCTGCCAGTTGTCATCAAATGTGGCACTCTGTGACAGTCCGAGAGGATATTCAAAAGCAGCACCTTAGCACAGCACAACATGCTCAAGGCCCCAAAACTGGATGCGATTAGATGATTGCTCCAATTCAAAACTAGTGTACCGGAAACTGAACTCCAATTTTTATCAAACCAATTGCCTTTTACCAATTGATGTCAGCCAGTATGCATGTTTGGGATCCCACACCTAATGCCTCTTGAGCTCACTAGCCTGTTTGCATATAAAACACACATGCTTAGGGCTATCTCATAAACAAGTACTTTGTAGACATGATAATCTGACATCACATCATTTGTTTTTCATTATTGTAGGTGCAGTGCAGTCTTCTAATATGGACAACATTATTCTTAAGAAGAGTTTTAAGTTCCATTACCATGAAATAAGATCCTTCTCCCACAAAGCTGCTGCACCATTAATGCAGATTTCCTCTTGATGACCCAAGTTAAACATAAACCAATACCTGTGAAGTGACAATGTCCAAATGTGCAGAAGCATAGACTGTAGTCTGCAGTCTGCAGCCTGGAATGTGCTCAGCCTTATGCTTACACACACCAAACTCTAAGCAGGCCAAAATGCACTGGATTGTCAACTTATTTTGGGGTGAAAAATGTGTTCAGAATATTTAAGCCTGAAACCAACTCGACAACATCAAGGTTCCTCCACACATTGACCTTCTAAGCCTTGTACTTGGTGGAAAACATGCACCAAACTCTAGGCAATCACATTAAGGGTAAGCAGCTGCTGTAATTGTTGCTGCTATCCTGGACATCCTCTACCTTCCAGCAAATCATGCATGTCATTAGCCCTCTTTGTCATACACTCAGAGTTAGTCATTTACCATTGAATCAAATCGACAATCCCTGAGCACACATTCACCAGTTTTCACAAATTCAACACGCAAAATCGCCACTTGGGAGCCTGATGCCTACCCCAGGGTTTATGCTTCTGCTTCACACGACGGAACCATTCACGGTTGACCTAACCACGACAGCCATACATAGGGCCCTGAGCGACAGAGAAGACAGGTTGGCTTAGAGCATGCCTATTATGCTAACCTAAGGCATAGACTTGAGGGGGGGGGGGGCAAACGAGGTGAATGTAACGTGACATAAGGCGACACCGACCATACCTCGACGTTGTACGTGATCTTGCGGGTGTGACAAATCAGCAAGCGTGCCATCGATTCACTCAGTGAACTTCTTACAGACACCATTCGGCGTTTGGTCATAACACACGTAATCAAGAACCCGTCACACCATAATCGCCTCTCATTACCGATATGTTGTTCACGTGCACAATTCAATTTCTTTCCGAATACAATATCTTTCCGGATACAGAACACAATTGGAAAAAAAAAATGTTGCTGAGAAGTAGATTTTAGCGAAACTCTCTACATCTGTTCGAAATCCTCCCATGCTGCGACCATGTAAGCAAATAGCCAATGAAATCCGTTTGGACAAAGTAAGTTGACGTCACTGTCTTCTAAAAAAGTCAGGCCAAAATATAATTATGTTCATAGGTTTTAGATGATTTGAACACCATGCTTTCTGAAAACGCGGTCACATGGATGTTTTCACGAATATCTTTTACACCAAACACCTATAAGCTTGCACTATGATGGCTCTACGTCACATGTATATCGCCCCCAGAAGTTTGCGTTTTTAATTCCGAACACCGCCAATTCTCCCAAACAACAGCATTAGTGAGTTATAGTGGCGCAATGCAGACAACTGCGAAGCATTCTCGCGTGCTGCAGCTGGTGCAATAAGAGAGCTACCCTCTCTCGTGGAGGGGGCGTTGATCGATCGGGTCCCCGGGCACAGTTTGCCGTGCTTGGGCTCGAGGAGGGTGGGAAGGTGGTGAGAGCGCGTGTTGCGCACAAGCCCACTTCACATACTGCCGCAATGGCTGCTATGGCCAGGATGTTCTTGGCCTCGGTGTCGATCTTCTCGTGCTTTGGAGGTGGACGTCTGGAAGGTAAGCAATGTCCAAGGTTTCGCTACGATTTTCGTGACTGAATCTGTGCTTTGTGCTTGAATTGCTGGGATTTTGTTAGGGATTATGCTCCTGCAGATTTGAATTTTAATTGTTCGTTTTAGGCTGTCATGGAATTGTGGTTAGATATGTGCTATTTCCCCATCTCCAGACTTGATTAAATGTCTACATAACTAATGTCCAAAATGTTTAATAATCCTGGTTTTTGTTGTTCAAGCTGGGGTATGGCCAGCGTGCTTACAACACGTATGCACATTGGTGTGCTTGGTGGTTTTGTGACAGCATCCCACATAGGTTTTTTGTAGTGTGTCCTGACTATGCTTCATTTTCCCCATAGATGTTCTCATCCTCATGCACCTGATATTCTAACTCATTATCCACATTGCTTGAATGACATACATGTATTAGGTCAGCATTTCATGCACTCCTTCCTTGCAACCTTGCAAGGCATTGCAGGGCTGGAAAGCACCTTAACCACCACATGTTGTTCTTTTTATTGGTACAACATACTTATTTTAGATGCCCTTAGGCATGAACATGTTTCTCACTAGTGTACAATCTGGCCTATCCAACTCATCTATGTCATTCAGCAAATTGGGCCATCCAGCTTCCCACAATTACCTGTCCATCTCAATGCTGTTTCCCTGGGGATGCAGGATTTCACAGGGGTAGGCATTTTGGGCCAGAGAGGATGCATCTATCTCCACAGGGTAGATGTCAAAATATGACCTGGACATAGGCTGGTCAGAATTTGACCGTGAATCAATGGCTCATAGCATGTCTAAATTTTCATGTCTGGACTTTGCAAGTTACTTTTCTAGAGATAAAATTCATAGCAGAATTTCAGGCAGAAACATTTGGAAGCTTCAAATACTACCTGTAAAAACATGGTGACAAAGCCATTAAACTAGAGTTTTTTTCTGCAAAAAATAAACTACAGATTGAGATTCTTCTGTCATATATTCTTTATTTAAGCCCTGCTCCCGTCCGCCATCGGCAGCCACTACCCTGGGCCATCTGTCCCCCTCAGGACTGACCGCGAACTGACCGCATGGCTGCTTTGCTGCATAGTTATGGAT